TCGTGGGGCATTTTGTGAAAGACATTTTCTGTTGACTAGCTTGATACATTAAAGGACTCACTGCAGAGACTCTTTCTTCCTTGCTGGTTTTCCATTTTCTTCTTAATTCTGAAAAAAAGTATTGAGACAAGCTGACTATCCAGGAAAAAGTGTAAAATTTAAAAGAGGCTGTCATAAATAAAAAAGCAGACATGTTTCTGTCCTTCTCAGAGAAGAGAAGCAATAGTGACATCACATTGCTCACAGATTCTTGCAGCATAATAAAATACCACTTTTGGCTTAGGAAATGCAATTTAGAGATGGAGCTGCCTGTTACTTTGGTTTGTTCTGGCAAATTCTAATAGGTTTAGAGTTTTACTGTGAGTGCTCTTGGAATGCAGAGAAGGGACAGGACAGTCCTGTTGTTCAGCTTTTGGTTGAGTCCATCTGCTCCAAGCTATTGGTTTATAAACTGAGGTTCTTGCAGTGCACTTGTCCTCAAGCACATTTGTTGTCGAAGTGCTGCCAGCCCAAGCAGCTGGGGAAATTACGTGAGCTTTCAAGATGTTGGAGGTGGGGAGTAGCCTGAGGGGTCTGAATGAGACGCTTTACCAAGAGATGAATCTCCAGGGTCTCCCCAGCTGCCTGTGCTGAGTCCATTTTCCACAAGATGCAAGGGGAAGGAAAGGTGTTTTCCAGTGGACTGGGCAGAGTCACAAAATGCCCCACAATTTGTGGTAAAAATTTCACGCTGCATGCAAACACCACACCAGCTTTGCTGCATTCACATGCTGCTTCCTTTGCACCACTCAGATGATGTGAAGCACTCACAGCCTCTGTCCATCGGTGCCAAGTTTAGAAAAGCTCTTTCCCACCAGAGTCTTTCCTTTTACTTCTTGTCTCTCTGGCCATGTATCAGCAGTGGTACCTGAGAAATGGGCATTGATTGGTGATGATGTTCCCAACTCAGGGAAGAGCTGCTCCTCATATGGAGGGATAGGCACTGTTGACATAAATAGAGGGACAAGCAGAGAGCAAAGTTTTAAGCTTTGCGGACACCAATAACAGTCACAGAGGCCAAGTTCATGGCTTAGATGTTTCTGGAGAAAAGTGCTATGAGATTTAACTATCCCAGCAAGTATTTCATCACGTGGGCTGTTCTCCAATACTCAGGCCTTGCTGGCCATGTTGCAAGTAAGAAGTCATTTTCCAGAGCCTGATCCTTTTTATGGAGACCCAGGTTGTGGTCTGACCCATGTCAATGGCCATAAATCAATTTTGGGTCATGCTGCTGATGGATTAATGGACCTGGGGGTGTCAAACTTGAGAGACTTTTACGGGTTGCAGAGACGGAAAATGTCTTGTTGATAGATGGCTCAAAACACTCTTCTTCATGCCAGATTTTGTTCTCAGGCACACTCCAGAAATGTCTGTTCTTTTGAACCTGGTGGATGCTGTGCACTTAAAAGACAGAGAATTAAAGAGGATGAATCTGCAGAGCATATACAGCTAGTAAATACAAGTACAATGCCTTCCAGTGATATGGCAGAGAGCACCTCTGAAGGTTTTTAGGGCTTTTTTCCCCCTCATTTCAGCCCTAAAGAAAAGGTTTTTGTTTCAGGAAACAAAGAGAAAGAGAAGAGGATGTTGGTGATATGGACACAAAGAGAGGGCAGATGTGGGAGATGTAGGTGCAAGACCTGAGGGAATTTGAACCCCTCTCTCACCTCTGCAAACGTGTTCCCATCACCGTGATCAGGTCAGCCTGGGCTCAGATGCTGCTGGTTTTTCTGATGAGGCTGTTACACCTCAGTTACAGGCAGGCAGGCTGGGAGGGGAGATGCTGTGTTGGCTGTGCAAGGCTCAGGGCCATTCTTGCAGCAAGGAGCTGATTCCATGAGCTCCAGGGCACTTCTAGCAGCAAATTTCAAGAGGGCCCATAAGACAGAAGCTGCCTTCCCAGACTGCATCCTCTTGCATCTTGAAATTGTTCTGTTACTGAACATACATCCTTCAAGTGCTGATCAAAGAAACCCCCACGGCAGAGAAACATTATTGATTCCTTATGTAATACCTCACCCTGCTCATGGCCCTCACTGAGCCTACAAAGGCAGCGTGGCCAGGAATGCTACAGTGCCAGTGTTTATGTGGGAAAGGTGTTAATTCATCCCTGTGCATGTAAAACACTTCTCTGCCTGAGGAATTGCTAATGTGGGTTGCACACCCTGAGTGAGGAGCTCGCTGCCAAGAAGGACTTGGTGGAAGGAGGGAGGGGAGGCACGGAGCAAAGATTTGCCCTAACTGGTGAGGTCTGCTGTGAATTTTGGAAGCTCAGAGCCAGTTCTGCTTTCTGGTGCCTTTCAGCTGAGCCTGGTTTAGCTCTGCTGAAGGAAAGTGCTGAAGCTTCTTTGCAGAAGCACTCTGTGAGCAGCCTGTGCAGATCAGCAGGCGGGGTGACAGGGCCCTTCCAGTGGTCTTAAAAAAACTAATACATCTTTCTTGTCATGGGCCATATCTCTAAGGTATGCTAAAGCAAAAAGATGAATAGCTTTTCTAAGTGGACTGGATTTTGTCTCAGGCCCTGTTTGCAGTGTTGGTGTATATAAGGACTCACTGTACAGCTTTTGTGCAAAAGCTTAGTACATTTTTTGGTGCAGAACCAAGAACTCCTTGGTGAAATACCCACATTCCAGACTGTATTTTTGTAGTCATAGACACATTGTCTGTGGCTAAATTGCAAAGATTTGGCTGCTGCATTTTTTCTGTCGTAGGTGGAATTGTTCATGCAGTGGTGGCTATCCAGTGCTCTGCATGTGTGTCTTTAAGCCCTTTTACTTTAAATTTTGACCTTTGGAAGGCATGTTTCTTTTCCTATTTCTGTATTTGTTTCAGTATTATCTTTTCTCCACTGTTACAGAATTAAGTGCTGGCTCCTAATATTTTCCTGAAGAAGAAATGAAAAATCCTATTAAGCAGCAGCAGCCTTTCCTCTTAGTTCAGTAATTGAAAGGAGGGAGGTGTCACCAGCAAGTGCAGCCACTGGATATTCTTTCAAAGCAGTACTTTTTTGTCTGGTGCCTTAATTCTTTTCAATGTTTGAGTCAGGAAAAGTTGCCAAAATTTAAATTATGACTAGCATACTTCTCCCTCCCACACAGTACAGATTATTGATAGTGGATATAGCTGGTTCCATAGGTAGTAGCCTTGCAGACTTTCTTATTCTGCTCATTTGTTTAACACATCTCAGCACTCTCTGTCCATCATCCTGTCTTCTCTCCCTGAAGAACTACAAACATGATCAATTTTTTGGTAGTATTTACATTTGGGGGGGAAGGGGGAACACTAGCTAGAAACTAAATATTACTTAAGTGTGGCCGTGTGAGAGTTCGTATAGAAAGAACATGATATCTACAATTGCCATGCTATTTTCTTGTAATGAATTTATACTGTATTGCTGAGTCTTGCTCATCACACATGTTGTAGTACTTGAGATGCTCTGTCTCTGTTAGGGCAGCTGTGAGTTAAATATTTTATCAGAACTAGAGAAATTCTCAAAACCAGGCTACTGTATGGATGCAAGTTGCTCTTTGTGGTTGTGTTCTGTTGCTATAAATTCTTTTGATGTTTGTAAAGTTTTACCCCAGCTGGATATGCTGTTTTCTTCATCCTAGAAACTGCAAGTAAAGAAGAAAAGCAGAGATACAATGAATAAACAAGTTTTGCAATAAAGGGGTATTTTTAGCTGGGTATTTCATATTGTTTCTCCTTGGTCAAACCTTTTCCATGGTTTGAGAGGGTTAGCAATGCAATTTATTCGTTTTTCTCTAAGGGAGAGGCTGTATTTAATATGTGCTCTCCAGGATACCCTGTTAAAATATTAGGTAATAAAATTCTTGACTGTACAGTAGTTGCAGTTATAATTTCCCCCAGGTAGAAGAAACTCTGTAATTTATTGTTGTTCAAGTTTGTACAGGTTGGCGTGGTTGTGGCAGTGTGAAAAGATCTGCTTTGCTCCAGCCCAGTGTCTTTGTTGTGTCCCAGCTGCCCTCCCTGAGTAGCATCTCATTCCTGAAACTGCCTCATTCCAGACATGCACATCACACTCCCTCAGGGAAACTCACACTGTTCCCTCCTGGGATGTAAATTCTGTAATTCTCTGCATACAAACATCAGTGCCAGCAACCCTGAGGAAGACGCTCGTGGTGTTGAATCCACAGTGCAAGAACGTGTTTGGTGGCTTCCTATCTGTCTAAAGTCCAAAATGCAAAACATCCAGCAAACTCTGTGTTACTAGAGATGATCTCCCCAATCTGTGCATCAAAATAAGCTGAAAACGTAAGAAATGATCCCTGGGGAAGCCTGAGAAAGTGGCTTTCCTCAACCTGAAAATGGAGGGTGAGAACATGAATTCCTTCCTTCCTTCCTTCCTTCCTTCCTTCCTTCCTTGGATGTGGCAGCTGGAGAACTTTGCTTCAGCTTCACTTTTTTAGGGAAGATTGGTGTGTAGGAAGGGGAAAGGCAAACATTCCCCCTTTGCCTTGTTTGTCTTTGGTTGGAAGGAATGATTTTACTTGAGATGATATTTTATTTTTTTTTAAACTAAACCTCTGAGAAGTCATATTGCATCTTCCCAACAAACTGCTGAACTCAACTGCTTTCACCAAACGCATGCAGAATTTTCCCCTCAGGATCCTTGGAGGCCCTGGAGTGCCTGCCTTGCAAAACCTGGGGCAGTGAGCAGAGTCACTCCAGAGTGATTTCCATAGGATACCTTCAGACAGCGTGCTTACGTGTATTTATAAGTGCATTCATACACATTTAACACATCAGATTCTCTCTTGGTCTCTTACTGCGAACACCAGGCAGAAGGAAAAATAACCAAGCTATCCAAAGAGCTGCTGCCCAGCTGGTAAACTCTGAAAAAACCCAGACCTTCCAAGAGGCACAGACAGAAGCAGTTTTTATCACTGGCTTTCTCCTGGCCCTGAATACACGTGGTTGTCTCTTTGTGATCATTTCAGATGCCTCAGGAACAGTACCCGCAGCGGAGCACCATGCAGACCTCGGAAGGACCCCAGGTATACAAAGTGGGGATTTATGGCTGGAGGAAGAGGTGCCTCTATTTCTTTGTGCTGCTCCTAATGATTTTAATCCTGGTGAACCTTGCTATGACCATCTGGATTCTGAAGGTTATGAACTTCACAATTGTAAGTAGGGGTTACCCTGGAACGTCTGGGGAAGATGAGGGGAGGGTGCTGGTCTTTCTTCTGAGCATGACTTCAGATACATCTTCAATAATGGGGTGTTTCATTGCCATGGACAGTCCCTTTATAGAGAGGAACAAATTTACACAATGATCCTTTCTTTCTGCTGGACATTGCCAAGCTGAGGAATCAGCTCAGCACTGCAAATCACGTTCCTCTTATCTGCTGTATATGTATATATACATGTATTTATGTAAACAATATACGCCACCCATTCCCAATTTTCAATTATAAAGTGTTTTAAAATTAATGAAATTGGTTATTTTGAACTTGGATATGGAATGGGTTTGAGCTTTTGTCTTAGACTTTTTCTGCTTTTCTCTGTGACCAGGAAGACAAAAATCTTGATTTTTTTTTTTTTTTTTTTTTTTTTCCTGTGGGAAAATTCATGGTGATGTAGTTCTGGAAGCTTCATGAAATAAAATTTAAAGGTTTTCTCCCTGGCTGTGGTACTTAGGTGGAGCATGTCCTTATCCTTGTATTGCTGTGCTTGGTGCACACCAGTCCTGGAGCAGCTCCCCCTTGCTGCACAGGCTCCCTGGCCAGGGTTAGCTTTCCACTTCCAGGGCTTGTGAGCCTTTATATAAGGCACATCCTTGTTTTTCACTAGATAATTTGACCAGGCAGAGTGAAAATGAAGTTATCAGTCACCTCTTATTGAAAGTAGTCATTGCCATCTCGTTCAGATGAGATTATTCATTTTAAGATTGTTTGAGTCTTTAGGAGAAGCCAAATCTGTGGCTTTAATCCTGGTTTTACTTCCCCAGGGAGTTGTAAAGCTACACTTCCCTAGACAACTTTCAAGGATCTTCCCAGCCAGGCTCTGATAGGAGCAGCATGTTTGAAGTCTTTTTGGCATTTCTTCCTCTGCTTTGGTCTTGTACAGTCCCAAACAGCTGTGGCCAGCATTATGTCATTAATGGGCCATGAGAAGTTGAATAAACAACCTCTGGCTTCCTGTACCCAGCAGATAAAATGCTGTGTCAGGGGAATGTGCAGTGTTCATTTTCTCTAACCAGGTTGCTGTCAAGGTGTGCAGAAGATTGCAGTACCTGTGTGCATAGGGAGCAGGCAATTATAAAGCAGTAATCTACATAAAGCTCCCGTGACCGGGCAAAGAGTGGCCAAACTGGAGCAATTAATGCTTAACCAGAGCAGTTGTTTAATCTGGTGAAATGGATGCTGTTTTGATACCCATTTCATGCTGAACTATGGTCTTTAGATTAATGGAGTTGAGAAATAGGTGTTTCTGAGGTGGTGGAGGTGTTGATCATTCAACATACAGGCAGTGCTGTGGGTATGAACCTGAGAACAAAATAAAAGGATTTCAGATGATCACTTTTCAGGAATACAGCTTTATTTCTTTATAATAACATAATTCAGTCCCATGCTTTTTTGCTAATTGGTGGTGGTCAGTCAGCTCTCTACAGATTGGGAAGTCAGGTGAACATCTGTGCTCTTTCTCCATCACTGCCCTCTCATGATGCACTGCATTTTGCAGGCCAGGTGCTGAAGTGCCACATCCTAGGGATGTGTGCAGAAACCTCCCATTTCCAGCAGCTCTGTCCCCCCCACTAGGATACAGACTGGCTTTTGGAGGCCTGCACTGATCTTCACTTTCTTGTCTGATTCTGTTTCCTTACTTGCCCTCGGATTACTGGGGATTATTCCAGGGTAAAGTGTATTTGTGTATGGCTTAGTTAATTCATATCTACTAATGCTAGTGGATGATGAACAGCATTTGGTGATAAAAACACAGGTGGTGCTACTGAGTTCTGCAGTGGGAGCAGCTTTATGGTTGTAGGCAGGGCCACGCTAGTCAGGGTGAGTGTTTCTGGCACAGCCAGTTGGAAATAAATACAATAACTGGGCATGTAAAATGTGATTCTTGCCCCAGTATGCACCCATTCATCTCCTGATCTCCTGCTGCTCCTGCAGCCTCACCAGCTGCTTTGGATCCTGCTCTGCAATCCCTCCTGCACCATTCCCTGAGGCTGAGAAAACCACTTGGCCAAGTGAGTTTTTAGAGGCAGACTTTTATCTCTAAATAACAAACATAGGAAAATTATCAAATGAGCAGATGCAAATATGGAAAAATCTTTCATTTGTTCCTGTTCTGATAAGAGGAGCTGAGAGTTCTTCTGGGGCAGAGGAGTGATCTGAGTAGTCAGTGAGCAATAGCTGCTGCTTAACAGGTCTGAGTTAACCCAGTGCTTGCAGAGCAGAAAGGAGAGGAAGGTTTGTGTTTCTGTTCTTCTGGAAAATGTCATATTTCTAGCATCTTCCTACCCCTGAGCTCTCCTTCCAGAACCTGAGTCTCTTCAACTCCACAGAACAGTCCTGGCGCTTACCAGAATTTAATGATGCTCATTATAGCCAATAAGTGCTCACAGTATTTTAATGAGCACAGCAAACCTGCTCAGGAAAACTCAGGGGTGTTTTAAATGCTGATAGTGGGGAGTGGAGAGTGGAGAAGGGGGAAGGAGATGAAGCAAGACAATTTCAGGATAAAAAACCACCTCCTCATGATTGCTGTGGCAGTATCCGTCCACTCCACCCCCTTGTCCAGCCCTGGCCTCCCTTTCTCTGCCCTCTGCCTGCCCTCCTGCCTTGTGCTCCTGGAGACAACTCCTGTGAAATCAAGCCATAAACTTCCAATCAGTGACTTTTAACAATCAAGCATCACTAATATTTTTCTAGGTTTTGCTTTTATTTTTTAATTAAATCTAAATGCTTAAATATGTGTGTCTATTGCCTCTTACACAGGGCTGTCAAAGCAGTGTCACACCTCTGTGGGGACAGCTGGTCACTGTCTGCTCTGTCCTCTGGCACAATCATTCATTTCTCGTGTACTGTTTGATACTCTGTTTTTTTAAATGCCTTTATCCAGCACAGGCTGTATGAAAAACAGGCCTAGAGGGGACCTCAAATGTCACCTGCCTGTCCCACAGCTGGCTCCCATGGCCAGGTCCATTTGCTGTGTTCATTTACATCAGGGCTGAGCTGCTCTGGGGCTGCAGGAAGCTCTGGGCAGGCTGCTGCCTCTAAACCTTGCTTGGATTTCTAAGGCAAACCACAGAATGAATCTGGACCAAAGCCACCAATTTGGCTGAAACCCAAATGTACCCTGAAGGTGGCCTAACCTAACAGAGGTAGAAACCACCGTCCAGCACTCAGCTTTCCAGTGATTCTTAGATACAGAGTGCCCTGCTTCATTCAGATCTTGGCTGGTATTAAGTCTGTGGTTTGCACATACTGGGCTGGGGGAAGTGGTGTTACTGCCCGTGGGCTGTGTGTGTGACTGAGCCACTCAGTGTGCAGGTCCCCCCCAGCCACAGCTGCATCCTGCAGTCACACCAGTGTGGCAGAGGGCTCCCCAGCAGCTGGGGAAGCCTGCAGCTGTGGTGGGCTCAGCCTGCAGCTGTGGTGGGCTCAGCCTCCAGCTGTGGTGCTCACAATGTCCAGCTGTGCTGCTCTAAACCTCCAGCTGTGGCAGGCTCAACCTTGATCTGCACGGAGCTTGGCTGAGGTGGGCACAGCCCCTGCATGGGTTTGTAGGTCCCAACTTAATTATAAAGCTGGAATGAGAGCTCTTAACAACCTTCTCTTTCTGGTCCAGCTGCATTAGCAGCCAGTGATGCAGCTCTTCAGCAGCAGCATTGCCCGTGACTGTGCATATCAGCACATGGATATTTTATGCTGCACACCAGCGATGTGCTGGGGATCTGTATTTCACCTATTACTAGTGAGCTTAAAGCATTTTTTAAAAAGCTTCCTGTTGTATTAGTTTCTGAATATTACAAGAAAAGATGTGCTTACATAAACACAGTAGACCAATATCCTTATTTTAAGCAGTCCAACGCTAGAAAGCTCTGATAATGGGCAATGACAGTGCACTGACCTCTTTCCACAAGGCTAGTACACAATGCCTGGTATTTTAAATGGTGTTAGGAGTCTGGAGCACTATGCATTAGTACCCCTTTATAGCCTGTTAGGCAGCAGGCAGAGCTTTAAACAGGAGAGATGAGGACTGTGTCCTGTTGAGGCTGTATTTAAATCTCAAACACCCACCTACTTGTCTGCCTATCAAACCATATAGGAGCTTTTGCTTTTTCTTTGCTCTTCCCCGTGTTTCTATCCACAGCTCCTGTTGCTTGTTATGGATTGTATTTTATTGGGGCAGGAGCTGTTTGCATATGTAGTGTTAAATACTGGCAGGCTCTACTAGACTTTAAACTGTAATAAATAGAAAATAATAATATTTTGCCCCAATCAGTTGAATTTCCTGGAGAACTGTCTTCTAAGAATCATCCAAAGTAAATGCTTCAGATTAGTTTTGTAAATAAAATATTCTGCAACTTGGTATTCAGGAGTGCCTTCATGAGCCAAACTTAACATGTTCCTCCAGACTGGGAGAGCACCATCCCTGGAGGTGTCTACAGATGTGTAGCTGTTCTAGTTAGGGACAGGGTTTAGGGTGGACTTGGCAGTGCTGGGTTAGTGGCTGGACTCAATGGTCTTAGGGGTCTTTTCTGACCTAAATAATTCTGTGACTGCATGTGCTGCCTCCAGGCCTGTGCAGGCTGCTTGTGCCACCTGTGTGTGCAGCTCCAAGGGGATGCAGGGTGGGATGGGCAGGCAGTGACCCCCTCCTTCCACCTTCCATGGGGCACAGAGAGGGGGATCCTCCCCTCCTGGCCCAGTCAGGCTCAGCCTGGGGGTCCCTGACCACAGCCCTGCCACCTCTGGCTTCTCCTTCCATAACCACATGAGGTTTGCACCCTTTAGCATGAAGTTCAGCCATATTTTATTATTTTAATTGAACAGGAACAAATTACTTCAATTGTTCAGTTTTTTTCCCCTTTTTTTGCCTCAGGCTGCATTCATAGCTGAAGGGGTCTGGTTTAGCAACGTTGAATGAAATGTTGGCAATTTAGAGAGAC